CCAGAGCAGTTAAAATCTTTCATCTGAGTTCTTAAAGAATTTTCTTTCTAAATGGGGATATTTTTGGGTTTTGTTTGTTTCTTTATATTGGAGGCTGAGAAAGGAGGATCACAAAAGTAAAGGCTTTGTTATGGTTGCTTAACCTTTCAAAAGGAATTTTATTTTCTCATGTTTTAGGACTCTCAGGTTAGCTGCAGTTTTCTGTTCAAGTATAGATCTAGAGTATTTTTTTGATTTTGCATTTTTAGTGTCTGAACACAATCACAGAAACATAGAGTGGTTTGAATTGGAAGGGACCTTAAAGTTCATCTGATTCCAATCCTCCTGCCTTGGGCAGGGGCACCTTCCACTAGACCATGTTGCTCACAGTCCATAATTTAAGTGATTTTAAGTCTTTCTGCTGGGAAAAAAAAAAGAACCCTTTCTTCTCCTCTCTATCTTGATAAGAATTTGTTCGTCTTTGTAACTTGAACAAATTTTACTAATATTTGGATTAACTTGGGTTCTGTTGATTGCATATTAGACCAGGATTAACTCTGGTTTTTATGTGTAGAATATAGAAGACAAAATTCTGAAAGGCTGCATATAAATACACTGTTAGAATAACAGTCTCAGCAGGAGTATTTAAGAATAAGCACTGTTAAAAAGCCATGCGAGAATGTACATCCAAATTCTCAGAGTTAGGTAACATCTGGTGCCTGCTTTCCATTGGCGCTGGAGGAATTATGTAAATAAAAATATTTATGAATTTGGCTTATTCTATATTTCTTCTGATCCCAGTAAATACTATAAAAATAAATAGTTTACTAAAAATAATAGCTAAGAATTGAAACACATAGAGCCTGTGTGAAATGTTCATTTTGTAGCTGTTTTTCCTTTTAACTCCCTTTGAAATGGAGGAATATTTAAGTATATCTACACTAAGACTATAATTTCCTGAGCTCAGCTCAAGAAATGATGGAAACTGGCTGACTCAATTGGCACTCGGCTTCTGCACTGCCAGAGGCTGGGTGTGCTGGCATGTTTGGATTAGCCTACAAGGAGTAGTTGTGATTGAAGTTCTCAGGTGACAGTCAGAATAAAATGAACCGAACAATCAACCTGAAATAAATAGTGACTTCTGGGCATGCAGTCCTTTCAGTGAGTATCGTCCTGCTGTGTGAACTAACTGAAGTCTTGCTTTAACTTGAGCCTTTAACCTTAGCATTGAACCCTGAAAGATGTACTGCATATCAGGTGAATAATAAAATTTTATTGCAAATGTACTGATGTTTTGAACTTCTTCCTTAACACAGATGACGAGGATGGTATGGACTGCATGGACAATGAGAGGCGGCCGCATTTCCCCCAGTTTTCCTACTCTGCAAGTGGACGAGAGTAACTTTTTTGTTCTGCTGCTTCACTGTCATCTTAGGTTTATCAGTGAAAATGATTCCTGAACATCACCACCAGTACTAGATACTACTAAGATAGCAGGGGCACTTTCAGAGACCATTCCAAATTGAACAAGTTTCTTTCCCAAACCTCCCTAAAATCCATTCTGGTTTTGCATGACATATGAGATTCTCTCTACTCCGCTCTCCTGCTGTTGCTGCTGCCCACAGCCTCAGTATAAAAGCAACGTCAAGAAGTTACTAACAGTTTCTTTGAAGGTAAATGACTTGACTTCAGCATTGTACACTTTGTGAACAAGTAGTCATCTATTTTTCCTCACAGTGGAGGCTAAACAAAAGCCCTGTCGGTCCAGCTTATCTTCTTCCAGAAGATGAATCAAAATTGTAATTAGTCTAAACAGACTAGGCGATAACATTTTCTTGCATCTGTTTGTGCTGGTTAGAATGAGGAAATGTAGAGGTGGTGATGTACATATGCAAGGTTTCTGTTAGGCATATCATTACTTGAAGCAGGTCTCTGTCATTAACATCTGGCTGGAATTTGTTTGGGAAATGTTTGAGAGAAGGACTTAAATTGTTGATATATATAAATATATATATATATTATTTTTTAATTACTGTTGGATACTACAGAAGAAGCAGAAGGGCTGGGCTCACCCAGCCTGCCACTTAGAACTTCCAGGTTCATGTGCAATCATGGAGAATTGGACATTATACATGCAAGAAATGAAGGCATAAAAGCAGCAGTTGAAGTTGTTCAAGGGGTTTTATAATTTGCACCAGATAACATCTTTTTCATGCTTTTCTCTTTCATGATATGCATCACCTCTGATGGCTGAAGAATGTAGACAGGCATAATGGTATTGCTTTTCACCAAAATGTGTGCACCAAGGTAAACAGGTGTTTGCCTTACTTGTTTTTGATTTTGTGAATTAGCTTCCTCTCTTCTCTCGGTGTTTAACTCCGATTTTTTTTTTTTTTTGGTTATACTGCGGTAGTATTTATTTTTAGAGATAAGGTTTGTATATGTCATGTTTGCAAATGCTGCTACATCTTAGAACAGGCTTATAGCAGTTAATTTTGTAATATATGGAAGGACTGTACAAGCTGAAGGGAATTATGCACTTTTTTCCCATGTGGAAATTTTAACAAGGCTCTGAAATTGTACATACTGCTTAGAACCAGATTTTTGTGAATGAAATACTGTCTTTTAACAGTTTGGCAGTGGAGGTGGGGATTTCCAACCTCATGTGCCAAAGGGTTAAAAGTGAACAGACAAAAAAGCTACATCTTGTGCTCAATTTAGGATAAACATAATGTAAGAGCCTGACAGCACAAGAGAAAATGTCTGTTCTATATGAAGGAATTGCATTTGAACAAGAAGACCACAGTGATTACAAGAAAAGCACTTTATTTTAACAATTAAAATAGTAAATTTCTGGGATCAGCCATTCTCAAGGAAGATTTGCCCTCAACCAAAAGAGTCCTGAAACCCAGGAGGTTATGTGTAACCGTGGTACCTGATTGACTGAATTTCAAACATCACAACAAACGCTCCACTGGTAGGGAAATGTCTTTCCATTTCCGAAGATCTGTATCTAACAGAACATGTGCATAAACTTTAGCTTTGATCTTCAGCAATGATAATCTTAATAATAAACCCTTTGGTGCTAGGAGTTGGGGCGTGACGTGGCGCAGCAACAGAGCGCGCGCACCCCTGCAGGCGACATCGGGAACCCCCGACTCCGTGGGATTATCATTGGAAGTATCTCTGCGTTCAGCTCTTGTTAGCTCCCACAAAGACTGTGATATTGCAGAGTATTCCTGGTTGCGTTGTGTGAGTGAGTAGAGTCTGAGAGATGTTCCTACACAGATGCCTTAGCCTCTTGATGTGGAAAGTTGAGTGCCCAAGCATGAAGCCCACTGCTGGCAGTGCATGTGCTGGGATGGTCAAGGGGTAGCTGGGCATTTTAGCAAGGCAGCTAAAGACGCAGAGTAATTTAGACAATTTTTCATGTTTCGTGTTTTATCTTTAGTAATGGATGGATAATCAGATAGAAATATATCATGATGTATACTCTAACTGCATAGGATTTCATTATGTCACCCTGTAACACTAAAGACGTGTAGATGTTGTCCCTGTGCGGAGAGAGAGGAGAGCAGCAAATGCGTTGCAGGTCTGTCCTGGACTGGTGGTGTAGAGCTGTCTACACTGACACAGTGGAGTGAGTGACTGAAATAACCAAGTACTTAACAGACGGGCATTAATTAGTTCTCTGCAAAGGTCTTGTACTCACAGACTATGGTGATTCAAAATCTGTGTTACATGTCTGTGTATTCTCCCCTATGTTTTCAGCTTGTAATAGCAATAAGTTTCTTGGCACAGGCCACTTCCAGCCAGTGGCCAACTGGCTGTGTGTGGCACTGGCCAGCAGCTCCTCGTGTCAGTGACACCTTGTGCTTTTCTCTCCGTTGTGTGGCCAGGTAGTGTGCGGTTTGCAGGAGGGACCTGGCAGTGAACTATTTGTAAAGCTTTTAAGACATCACTTTGCATTGCATTGTCTGCCTTCTCAAACGTCAGAGATCCAGTTTATGATGCAGAGTCAGCAGCCACCTTTCGCTGCCCAGGCCTAGGGGATTTTGTCTTACCAGTGTTAGAAACAGATGACAGAGAAATGGACAAGCAGTGCTGAGAGAAACTTTTGAAGCTCTTCTTTTGCTGTCTGCGGTTGTGGTTGGATTTGGACAGGAGGTGGTGGCTGGTTGTCTTGGTGAGCCTTTTGAGCACAGTACATTTCAGACCTTTACTCCAGCTTGTACTGACTTCCATGACATACAGTATGCCCTCTTGTACTGCAGCCATCTCAGAGGAAGTAGGTCAATTCTGTTTGGATTTTGGCAGTTTTGCACACAGCTTCGCTTTCCACACTAATCCATCTTCCAGTACATTCCTGTTGCTTAAAAAACATTTATTCCAGTATTGTTTCACCTTTTTTTTTTCCATCTTTACTTGCGGCTTCTTAAAGCTGACTGTTCTTGCAGGGGCCATGTGCTTCTCCTAGAGTACAAAAGTAAGGTCTTTCCTTACTAACTGCAGGGTCTATATATTACACCTCAATGTACACACTTTGCTGCTACTGTTTGTACTGTCTACAGTAGAATTTCCTTATCTTGCTCCTGGTAGTGCATTACAGGCAAGCATGAAATGTAAAGTATTTATTTAAATAAAAACCTCTAAATTGGTAATTGAATTACCTCCCTGTAGCTTTAGAGTTTGTGACATTTCTTGACCTTGCTAGTTCTTTCATTAGATCCATGCAAGATCTAGTCATATGGTTAAGGATATTAAGCAGACACGACTATGAACCCAAGAAACCGTATTACTGTTGGTCATACTTAAACTGTTTATTTCCTTAAGTATATGACCCACAAGGATGTGAAATAACTACAAGAAACTGTTTTTGTACACTGTACATCCTTAGTATTTTTACACGTATATGATAGGGATGCACATTATTTTCCTTCGTACAGACAGCTTAAATAAAGCACTATGTCAATCTGCTACTTCTGTGTTTTTTAATGCTAATTTGTTCTGGAGGATTGTAAATATATATATATATATATGTTCAAGCTTGCTACAGAGGACGTATTTTTTTATATCTGCACATTACTATTAAATATCTTAGAGGATAAAATTCTTAAGTTGTCCTGTGTCAGAGAAAGAAAAATGGAAATGAGAAGGCTATATTGCAGATTACAAAAGATTTCTCAAGTTTTGGGTTAAATATTTACTTCATATTTTAAAGTAATTTTATATAGGTTAGATGTTTCAATCCTGAAATGCACAAAGAATTTACTTAATTTCTTCTTACAAGAAAATGTACATCATTATTTTTTTATCACTGTATATATAATGATCTGTGCATGTTTAGTTACAAGTTTTATTTGCTGTGAAGTCCTAGTGATAACTGTAACTCGCTGTGACATATTTCAGATACTGGGTGAACAGTTTCAGCTTGTAAATGATTAAGTTACAGTATTGTCAAAAAAAAAGTTTTTATGACTAAGCAAAATGTATCTGTGCTTTGGACCCAGGCTGTTTCCATACAGGTGGTTCCTGTTAACTCTGTGAGATGTATGTCACTTACTTATAAAAGTAAATTTGGGTTATACTTTTGAAGATATGCTCCTATCAGAACATCCACCATTTAAGTGATTTTCATCTGATTAAATTCTTGGCCTCATATCCCACAGCTAGGCAATGTTTGGGGAAGGAGACGGAAGAAAGGGAAGGTGGGATTTGCAGGGCACTGGAGAATGGGACTCTTTGAAGCCCACGGGCTGGTCCAGGGCTATTTGAACCAGCCAGTCTGGAGGGCTGAGTGTCCCTAAAGCAGTGGGTCTGATGGGTTTTCTGTTCTCTGACGTGAATGCTTCTCAGGAATAGAGGTGCTTCATCCAGGTCTCAGGTTTTTTCCTTTCTTTTTTCCCTCCTTTTTTTTCCTCCCCGACCTTGTAATAGGAAAGAGCATCAGGGAGACAGCCATCCATTAGTTCAGTGATATCAGGATGTCAGTGACCAGGACAAAACTGCAGCAGTGACAGGACTGTCTGCATCCCATGTTGTGGAATCACGCTCTGTGTGCTGACCTGGATTTGATCATCGGGTCTGATACTTGTAGAATTTGTAAAACCAAGATTATAGTGCTTAAGTAGAAGCAGGGGAAGGTGGGGAGGGATATGAGACAGGTAGGCCTGGTGCTGTAATGACTTATTAATTGCTACAAAGCAGAGTAACTGCTGCAGGAGAAGTTATTCCTGGTGGACTCCCAGCAAAACAATAGGCACCTATGCCTGGGATGAGTATGAAAACCTGCTTCGAGCTATGTATACTGGCAGCCCAGGACCCTTTGAAATCAGACTCGTACATGCACGTGGGTGGCTGGCAGTGGGGCCCTGCGTGTGGCCACCAGAAGCCACCTGGTAGGTGAGGCAAGTCCAGAAAGGTTGAGGGTCCCGGTGTGCTCCAGGGTCTCAGTGAAGCCTAAGTGTCAGGAATAGGTGCCCAAGTTGCTTTGCACATGTAGCCTATAGGCACTGTCTCCTATTAAAACACAGATTTATGCTGTGGAATAATAGAAAATAAAGTTTGCATTTCCTACATTTATAAATGTATATTCTTAACTGTGTAACCATCTATAAAGTAAAAAGCTATAAAGTAAAAAGTAACCATCTATAAAGTACTTAAAAAGCTGTCAGCCTGACTACTGTGAAAAATCCTGAGTTTGACTAGAGAGGGCTTTCCTTCAGCAGCCTTTCTTCTTCTTAAAGACCTGAGGCCTCTCTCAGCACGCTCAGTGTCATATCTGTGAAGCTGTTCATGGAGGTGATCAGATGTGTTTGGCAGTTTTATATGGCAGGAAATTGAAATAGGGAGGAAAAATCACTTTGATGTTAGGGCTGTACCACTAATAATTCTTAAAATATAAGGGAAGGAAGGATTGTGTGCCACACCCAATGGTAATTTATTGCATGTGTTGTTACTCTTATTTTTGTTATGTTTTCTGTGTTCATGCTGGCTGAAGTAGCTTTATTGCTGCGGAACTGTTCTTTGCGCTTTTTTCACCCCCTTTACCAACTACATTGAAAAAAAATAGATGTAGAAACTTTTCTCTTGTGTGTGTAGCTTATCCTACACTAGATAGCAAAATATTCAGATAAATTATTTCTAAAACAGTTGGGTATATGAAAAGTAACCTTGCAAAACATGAGTGCACAGTTAACCAGAAAAAAAGCCCTCCACCTGTACCTTCCAAATATTCTGAGTTCAATAATTTGAAGCCAAGTTCAGCTGGTGCCCTGAATATGTGCTGGTGCAAAAGTCCAGTTTCACCACTTCAGTGTGGAGCCCATCACCTCCTGTAATGGCTCCTCTGTAATAATCAAGGGCTCTTTTCTCTTAAAGGCCTTGTTCAGTGAATGTTTTAAAGGGGAACCTGACCCATAGAAATTCCTCCACATTCGGTGAACTATTTCTCAATCTTCTTACGCTTTTCTGATTAGTAAGTAGTTGTCGGGACTCACTTTTTATATAGAAGTGACAAATATCCTGTTGAATAAAGTTCCCGGTATATTCTGGTACTGAGTTTGTAAAAAGGAGGGCAGTGTACATGTGCAGCACTTGCAAATAGCCCCCTTCTCCCTCCTTCCCCTGCACATGCTTTCCCTTGAATTCAGAAGAACAGAACAAGGAACCTAGAGAACCTATTAGGTTTATTGATATTTCAGTCTGTAAATAATATAGACATGTATGTTCAATTATGAAAATAGATAAAAACATTTTATAAACATTGTACAAATTATTGACATCCACACCACGTAATAGCTGTTAAAACTGGCTTGCAAGCCTGGTCTTTTCAGAAAAGTCTCAGCTGTCGTCCTAGAAAGTTTGGTAGGCTGGTAAGGCTTCAAAATATTTGTGATTCTGTAGTTAAAACCAAATAGAAACCAGCTGAAATTAGCTAGCAAGTGTGCCTGTTTTCTGCAGAGGTGTCTTTGGGTGAGCCTCAGACAAGTTTCAGCCAGGTGCAGAGCAGACCTGAAAGATAAAAGGAAGAGATGGGTAGTCTGTATGGCAGTGCCTGTGTTTCTCATTTGTGTCACGTCAGCCTGCAGGCAAGTTCTTAGAAGAGAAATAAAAACTGGTTAAGACTGCAGTAAGGCAGAGTAAACAAGTACAGTTTCAAAGCCTGCACTTCCGTGGGCCTGCTGTCCTCACCTCTTTCTAAGCTCAGAAGTCTTACAGGTAGCAAGAACAAGAGATACCTGATTTCTGAAAAACAGGATCCCCATGAGCTTTTGACATGGCTCCTGTTTAGCAGTAAATAAGTAAGCTCTTGTTTTGGGGCACGTCTAAGATCCTGCCCCTTCTCCCTTCCAAGAAGAAGATGGCAGGGTTTTGCCAGAGGGTGTTTACTGTGCAGTGTTCAGCGTGTGTCTGGGGTGGGCAGCTGTAGCAAAACAGGAAACTGTTGCCTTGGTGCCAGTAGGAAACCTCTGGTGGGAAGGCTAATTCGCAGTTTTGAAGCTCTTGCATAGCTGTTTGTGCTTCCTCGGTAGCACTTAAGGACTGAATTGAGCAAGACATCAAACTATTGGAGCTGGGGGAGCTACCTCGAATTAAGCCACTGCAGTACTAAAAATTGAATTTAAGAGATGTACATGACCTCAGAAATAAAAATAAACTTTCTACTTTGGCTGGTTTTGCATTAGAAGACTGAAGGGTTTTGTTTTTTTTCCTTCCTCCCTTGGGTTGGTTAGGCTGAATTAAAGAAAATTCATGAAGCTGCAGTTCATTAAAGAATGAAAAACAGTAATATGGTGTTTTTTTTCCCCAAAATACACGCACCAACATCAACTGCTGCCTGTTGTGTTTGCGACCAGTGGAACTATGGCAATGGAAAGCCTTGGGCCTTAAATGCCACGTCAGTGCCTGGGTACTGACAACCAGAGGAAACATAATCTGTGCTGAAGTGACCCTCAGCATTACAGTATGGGCAGAAGCTTAAAAGGACCTCAAAACCTCAACTCCTGAAGAAATAGGACTTCTGGAAATTTCTTTTGTGGGTGTCCTTCCACACCACAATTGCCCAGTGCTAATGCTTTGTGAGATCAAGAACTTCAGCTTGATTGATAAAGTGGGCAAATCTCCTGACTCCAGCCTGGCCTGAAGCTCTTCACAAAGCAAGCACCAATCCCGTCAGAGTCTCTGTACCCCATTGTCCCAGGGCCCAAGTATTAAAGCTGTCATTGAATGTGTGCTGTTCTCTAACAAAATGGACACAACTGTCACATTTAGGTAATTGGTAAACAAGTTGGTTACTGGACAGACAGGGATAGGGAACTTTCCAGTCTTAGTTTCTCCTCCTCCCAAGAATATTTCGGTTTTCAGTGCACAGAACACTGCATCACACAGTGCCCAGGTTCCTCTGGCCACTCCCTCTTTACCTCAGTGGCATCTGCTTTAACAGGCTGGTTGGGTACTGGATGTACAAGTTGGAAGGGTTTGTAGGAGGGGAACAACAGATGCCTGACTGGTTTATTTTATTGCTGCCAGCTATACTGGGAGGAGGGAAGAGCAATTGACTTCCTGTTTGATTAGAAAGCACTCAGGTGGCTTCAGTGCCTCAATCCTCCACTGCATGGCTGTAAAACCCAAGGTGGAACTCCCAGGAGGGCCAGGCTCAACTCCTCAGCTGGTGCCCAGCTTTGTCCAGTAGCCAGACACGGGACAGGATGTACAGGACTCCCACAGCTGCAGATGCACAAACACTGGGGAGCTGAATACTTGAAGCCTCATGTCAGGGCAGTCAGACATCAAACAGAGGTCTATCTTTATCCCTTCCTGTCATGGTTTAACTTGCATCACTTCTGATTAAACTCCATCCAAGCAGAAGTGAAGATTTTCATCTGCTTAAAAAAACCCCCCAACATCATCCACCAACCTCATCTGTGGACTGGCTGTTACAAACACCTGGCAGAGGCACCATCTTTGTGCAGTAAGACTACACTAAAACAAAAGCTCTCTCCTAATAACCAAAGCCATCTTCAGGTCTCCTGAGGTTGAGGGCCATGTAAGGATCAGCTTGAATCACTTTTGACACAGAGATGGATGACCTACCTGTTTGCTAGAAATAAGGCTCCCCCTTCTGTAATACATAATAAAAAATAAAAAGCAAACAGGGCACTTGGGAACACTGCTGCATTAACCACTGAGACCTCACTGAAATTTCCTGCTGACACAAGAAAGGGAAGAAAACCCCTGCTCCAGAACAGCTGTAATTCTGACAGTGCCTCCTGCTGAGCGACTGGGAACACAGGCACGGGTGAGTGTACTTTAACTTCCTTTTAGAAGAAGAGTGATCAGCTCACAGACAAGCTCACTGTGACAAAGACATCTGTAAGGAGGGAGGAGAGAGCTTCAGTGGCTCTGCCATACGGAGAGCACAGGGAGAGTGCGGGTTCCTGGCCAGGGAGAGGCTGGCTTGCAGGAGGAGATCTTCGTGGGGAAGTCAGAGCAGCAGCACAGGATGACAGCCCTTGCTGGAAGTAATCCTCAAGGTCCAAATCCTACCCGTCTGTGCTCTCACTGGCTCAGCTGGCCAGCAACCCCTTCTGGCAGCCGGGGGCTGTGAGAGGATTATCCACCGGGACAAATAGTTATTTCTGTCAAACTGATGGATACCAAGGCAGATCCTGCAAGAGAGAGGCATCCCAGCTCTCACAAATACACTCCTGCCTGGTGGGGGTTGCTGAGGTTTCCAGCAATCTCTGTTTAGATGTTTGTTTGCTTTCTGTGCACATTTATTTAGTATTCTGTATTTCATAGCTGTGTATGAGGGCAATTAAGTATCTCTTACCCTCCTGCCTTAGGTGAGTTCCACTATACTAGAGACTTTCAAAGGTAGAAATTCAAACCTGAGTGTTCCAAAAACTTTCAAAATGAGAGGTGTAAATCGCATAATTAAAATCTGATTACCTTTACAAGGTGTTGAATATGCTCATGTAGCCTGTAAAGGAATGCAGCTTTACAGCAGGATCACGTACTTCTTTTATGATTTCTTTTCCTTTAAACCCCTAAATTTTCCTTACAATATCAAATGAGTTTTCCAAGAAAAACAGGCTCTCAACACACCAGAATGTAGCTGAATTTAAAGACTTTTTTTTTTTTTAATTTCTGCTGTCTTTTCCCCCATACAACAAACATATAACACTAGAAATAAAAACTACAGTGGAAGTAATCTGACTTTTAAAAACAAATCCTATCAAGGCTCAGGGCTTGTTAGGTTTGTTGAGTAGGGTCAGCTAGATTCAAGTAAATGATGCAATTTTAAATTCTTTAAACTTTAAAAAGTTTAGTAACTCTTGCAAGGCAGTAGGAACACCTATAGCTATGTTGCACTACTGTAACACGGACAGCACTGCTCCAAATACAAATATCTAGATAATGTTTCTTTCAATGTGACACTAACTGTTATGATTTATTACAAAACCAGTTGCAGCCTTTCTGAAGAGATAGGGACGATTCAAGCTTCCTCAGACAGAAAATACTGGAAGCAACAAAACTAAGCATTCCAAATCAAAAGGCAAACACCTAGTGACAATCCAGACAAAAAGTACCTGGGTTAAATCTGAGATCTTCCAGAAGTTCCCACCTAGCTAAGAGTTGTACATCCCCCTTTCCCTTCAACTTACATATTTAGATTTTTTTAAAAATTATTTTAGGTAAACTTGTCTTTGCTATTGAGTGCTTGTCCTTAAATTTTTAAATGCTTAAAGAGAAAAAAATCAAAGCACAAAAAGCTTCAACAGTTTCAAACCCAAAAATGTTTCAAACACTTCCTTCTTCCTTTTGTCTTTAAGTGTTTGCCAGATTCAACTCACATCTGCAAATAGTTTTAGTCGTGCTCTCCTTTCTTCTCCCCCCCCACTCTATATATAGGATATAGAAAAAAAATACCTACTTCTGCTCATTTCTCTTTATCCTTCCAGGTTTTTACTTCATTCCATCTGTGTCCTGTTTGAGATCTGCATCCCATATTTTTCCCTGAAATATGCAACTGCAGTTACTAGATGCTTATGTTCCAAGATACAAAGCACATTTAGGTTAGCGTATTTCACATCATCTTTAAAAGATTTGGTAATGGTTGATTGCTTCCACCTCCCCCCCTCCCACCAAAAGAACTTCCAAAAACTTGGTTAATGATAAAGGACAACTGTTGGACAATACAGTAAAATGTGGAATATGAGGTCACTTTCACCTTTGATCAACATTACTATGCAGTTGTTTGGTTTCAGTATTTCTATACTAACTACAAGCATCTTTCTGCAAAGAGCTTCCATTTTTGGTGAACTGTTCTTCAGTTTCCTTAAAACAATTGTCTGCTATTCCAAGCAGGTCTTTCGGGCTGAATTCCAGTTCCCAGAGAACCACCATTGTTTTAAATATCTGCACATAGATTTTTAGGGCTCATTCTGTAATAATTTTTTCTATCATTCTTCTTTTCTGAGAGTTCTCAACTTAAAAAGTATCCTCTGGAGCACAATTAACTTGTACTGAACATAAAGAAGGCAGCTTTTGCCAGTCAAATATTGATAGAAATTTAATATTTGAATTATTTTTTCCTCTTTTGTATGATTTTTGTACTTCTGCCCAACTCCATAAAAACACAATCACTTCCAGATAAAATAGATTATCAATAACAAAATCCCTGTGGACCATGTAAAGGCTGTTCACGTTACCAACAGTGCTTTTCTTAAAGTAGAAATTTTAATTTATTTTGGGAACAACCACCTCCTTAACCTCTCTTATAGAGAGAACACTATGGTTGCCCTAAAATTTGCCAGTAGTTACTACATGCTGATAACCTTACACTGTCATAAGCCACCGAGTTTGTCTACTAGAACAGGAAGTGCTGTAAAACCGAACACATGGACACGATTAGGGGCTTAACAAAGTATGGATTTTGTTCTCCTAGGTTAAACATTTACGGACTTCTACAGATAAAAAGCCTACAAAAATAGCATGATTTAAGTACTTTCAAGTTCTAAGCCAATTCATGTTCTGTTTACTGCTAGGTGTGCTACAAGACTAAATTTCCTACACTGAATGTCCTTTGTTACCATGTTAAGCAAACTCCAGCTATCCTGGGCAAACTCACAAGTCTGGAAGTTAGAAAGCATTGCAATTTGCTTTGTGACTGAGTAAATAGACTAATTCAATGTTGAGTCTGATGATCTGATAGTTCTACTGAAAACCTCATTCTGTGCTTTATAGTTTTCTTCCTTTTTCTGAAAAAAAAAAAAGTGAAAGAAGGAAAAAGAAGAAACCCAGCCCCGCAGTCTTCTCCCTTATTTCCAAAGCATTTACTGGCCAGAGAACAGTGGCCAAAACAAAACAAGCCAGAACAGCCCATAGGAAGCCACAGTTTCCTAGGGACCACTGGAAGAACATTCAGAACTGCTGGAGAAGCAGTGCTGTGATTAGTGCTTAGGCAAGATTGATTGTACATTCACCATCTCACATTTGGGTGCATGAATCACAGAATATCTTGAGTTGAAAGAGACCCACTGGGATCATCAAAGCTCAATTAGTGGCTCTGCACAGGACAATCCCAAGAGTCTCACCACCATGAGTGGTCATTGAGCAGCAAAAAATCACTTTTAAAAATAAAAAGAAAAAAAATCATGAAGTGATAGAAGAACTTTAGTCTGACAAATGGCAGCAAAACCGCTAAGCAATTATCAATATCAAGTAACTGTTTAAACATTAATGATGTTAAAGAACATTTCCCTTTTCTCTGAAAAAGCAACTCAAAAATCTTTTGATAAGAAGCTAAGAACTGTCATTGAGAATAACTTCTGCTTTTGTATTGTCACTTCAAAACACTTTTTCATTTAGTTTTGATTTAAATGAGAGTCAGGTTCAGCTACCTTTCCAACTGCATGCATTTTTATTTTATTTTTTATAAGGTAATGCTGTGTTTAAAAGAACCACAGCAACAAAATCCAGCAGTTGAAATCAGACTGCTGGCAGATTTCTCTGTTAAAGCTGGAGAATATTCCCCTCAGACTTTCTTTTCTTTTGACACAGTACCTGTGTTCGCAGAAACTGCACCTCTTCTGTAAGCAGGTGCTTCTCTTTGAAGAGCTGATTCTGTTTGTTGAGCAACTCCACTAACTGCTGGGCAGTGGTCTGGCAGTGCTTGTCAAGCTGCTGTAACCTGGAAAAGAAATAGATAAAAAGGTTGCAGAGCATCTGAAGTTGGAGTTCACGGAAGAAGCTTTGATCTTTGCACGGGTGGTGGCAGCGCCCAGCGTTCAGGCTGGTGGTTGGGCTGAGACTAAAGTATTACTCCTAGGATGGGCATTAAATGTATTTTCACACTTTAAATTAGCACTTTAAAGGTTTGCACTTTTAATTTAGAAGCTTTATGAGGACATGACAGCAAATCTGCTTTGCTGTGACATCAGTAAAGACTGGGGGAGTGCATCCCAACACCTGTAGCTAAGCAAGCTGCACACTCTGTAGCTGCTTCAGTAACGGTCTTGAAACACACTCAGTAGCCCAGGTTATGAAACCAAATACCCAAATTCCCTGCCAAACTGGACTTGAAGTGACAAAAACTTCTGCTTTCTGTCCACTGCTCTTTGCAAGCTGGTCAGTGTCCAAAACTCATTACAGAACATAGCACTTACTTCAAGTAAGCTTAGTGTTAATTAAGCATGTCAGCATAGATCCTTTAACAGTCTAACAGGGATTCCTGGGAAAAGATGTAAAGAGCCCATCATTCCAAAGGCCCTCCTCATCAGGGCTGCAAAACAGAGGGAAAAAGCTGGCAGGTGTCAGAAGAAACATGCAGAGGCTTTCTGCTTACACTGGAAGAACAAGTGCCTGAGTTGGGACAACAGTGCTGTTAAGACAGGTCAACTGCACATTTATTTCTTTAATCACAAAAGCAGGTATCATTTATTATTTCTCCACTGACTGTTTATTACTCCTGGCATCCAGTCAGAAGTAATTTCCAACTTATGTGAATTTTACATCAGAACAATATTTTTCAGTAGATAATCACAGGTAGCCCATGCAAATTTCAAAAATATTACTGGACACAAGCCCTAGGGTGCTCTATTGTGAAGCTCTATGTAATTTCAAATAAACTGCTATAAATGGAAAAGTCTTTAATTATGGAAATAATCAATTACACTTTTCCGCTTGTAACTTCACCACCCAGTGTTACATTTAGACTGTCTCTTGAGCAGAGGGAGAAGGATGACACATGCACTGAGCTGGGTTTGACCAGCAAGCCACAACTTTACCTTTATCATCTGTATCTCCAATGCTTGACTACAGCTTTAATAACATACTGATCTACAGCTCTGGGCCACCATGGATGAAAAGGGTGCAGTTCTAGTCAGCGCATATCTGGATCGGTGAATTCCCAAATTCTGTCTGCCAGTCTGCTCTCCCAAAACTGCTGCCAAGCTGGCCCTTGGTCCACACACTGGGACTCCCAGCCTGCTCTGCTGTGTTTAGCTCCTGAGGACAGGCTCTGGGCCCTCTCACAGTATCTGCTATTATGTGTGACATGTGCAGCACAGCCACACATTCCCATATGCATTGTATCTGGCCTGCCTGCTGATCTCGTAAATGATTCAAGATGAGAAATGAACAGCTCCACCCACATTCACTGTACTTCCCATATGTTACAACTGCACATCGATGCCTGCCATCATTTTTACAACTGGGTGACAGAACCTTCTGCACATTTTGCTAATATGAGTGAGGGAGGTTGCATGGTCGCCACGTTCACTTTGGCAACAGCACCTACCAGGCAAATGTACTGTGTCCTGAGCATCTGAGTGACCACTGTGTCCCTCCTGTCTAAATGAGATAATTTTTCCACCAAAGTGGCAAGATCTGTCCAGTTGGGATGGCATGCAGCTGCTCCCCCTTGGCCTGGCCATGCTGGAGGACAGGGACTGACTCCATGCTCTGTCACGTTACTTCAAGGCACAAGGTGAAAATGTAGCTCTTGAACCATGTTAGGACTACCCACAGGACAGCCTGGCACTAAGGAGAAAGCTCCCAGTCAGTAGTAATAACAATACCCTTCAAATAATTTCCAATTAACCATTTCAAACCAAAATCCCTATTTCTATATGGAGGCAAGAAAGAGACAGTTCCATGAGATGAGTGGTTCCACAGAAAGAGAACACCAAGGCATCACAAGCTGCAGTGAAAACTTCAAGGTAAACGTTTTGCTCTGATTCTCAGTACTTGGAACTCATAGGCAGCTTTAGGTTAGAATGGCTCCAACCTACCTTGTTTTTTTGTTCAATTACAACATGCAGAAGACTTCACATGGCAGTGAAATTTGGATCTGAGACTACGCTACACCCCAGGCTGTCCAGAAATGAAGTGAAAAGTGATAGATAGGGTTTTGTTACATTTTGACAGCTATGGCTAGACAATCACTGCAAGACCCTGCAGAAATGAGGCGAAACATCAAACACAAAGCAGAGCTTTGGCACCAAGGTGAATTCCACCTGCAGAATAAACTTCCATTGCATCCAACATGACAAAGCTATACTAGCACCCACCATGTTACACTTCCCTTTATGTGTGGCCTACAGATAAAAGCAAAAGCTACTTTATTTTCTATAACAGCACATAGCTAAACTGGGGGCACCCGCAGGACTCAGGCTGCAAGCTCCCTGCCCTGGGAGATTCAGACCCATTAATCCACAGGCAATCCACAATGAAGGTAAAAGCTGACATAACCTGTCAGCCCTCCTCTGGGTTTTAATGTTGATTTGAAGGAAATTAATATGCAAGGATCTGTGGGCAGTGCCCATTCACCCTGTAGTGGGTATCGGTCAGTCCTTGACATAGTAGAGGCATTAAAAGGTTATTTACTCTTTCAGCATAGTCAGGTTACTGATGTAAAACGTTTTCACTTTACTCCACGGAGCTGGATTTGCTGAAATGGCGTGATTGAATTGCAGCAACCTGCAGCAGCTAAATCACCAAATCCAATAATCATGCTGCATTTACTGGCACACATCTTAATTAGGTTTTAATACAAGTAATCTGATAACTACTTCTGGCCAGCCAGAGCGGAGCTGTCAGTGCTGAAAGGGCTGTTGTTGAGCAGCTCGGCCAGCGCGCTGCCGCGGCTGCCTCCCCGCTGCCCCTGCTGAAGCCCCCCATCTGCCAGTTGCCATGGTAACACAGGCCAGCCCATCATCCCAGCAGTGGGTGCTGCAACCCTCAGGCACCCCATGGCAAGGGCTGGGGCATCAGCCACTCAGGGACCACCAGCCACACAGGGGGGCCACCAGCACCAGGGCCACACCTCTGGGTGTGGGGGTGCTGGTCCTGGCTCCTGCTGCCCCCCAAAGTGACCAAAACCCAACACCATGAGCATATGTCACTGTGCAGCAAACTACCTTTAAAATGCATTTGTCCTGGCAGGGCAAGAGTGTCAAGCTATGAGTTTCTAAGGTTGTTCCTGCATTGCTCCTATTCCTGATGATCAGGGGTGGTTCCTGGTTCTGAGTGGGAAAACCAAAGACCACGTTGGAGACCTCTGTCATGCTGCAGAGATGCAACTGAATGGCGATCACTGTGGTGAGTCTATGAATTCAGAAAGGCAAACAAATGGTAAATTAAACCCTGATGTTTCACTAGTGTCCTAAATTACTGTTTACTTAAGATCTTGACCCATAGATCACTGTCTTGAAACAACCTTAAGTGATGAGCATCTCAGAGAAGCCTCCACATACTCCCAAAATCTAAACAGGAATATCTATACACACAACCTATTCTTTAACTGAACTGCATTCTCCCACCTGGCTTCAAAATCAAAATACTATGATGCACCTTTTCCATGTTAATAAAAAATTTAAAAAAACATAAGAGGAGAAACACACAGGCCAAAAAGCCACCCTGTAACAACAGTGAGTAGGAACTAAAGGTAGTGAATAAGCCTTCTCCTTTTTGTCACACTGGAAGTCCTGATTTCTAACAGGACACAGGGAGACAGTTCAGGGCATATTAAAAAAGTTGCCATGGAATTTCCCACCCTCTGGAATCCCTATCAGACTTCTGTTGCCACAAAAAGGACAAGACTGTCATTTGCTCAGGCAGAGCAGATCTATACCGCTTCCAGATAAGCACTTGCCCATGCTACAGGCAGAACCAACTGATGTTAACAGATGGTAACTAGAAGTTAATATCCCTTGCACAGTTTGGAATTGGACACCTAAGAAGCAAATGTCCACATTTCACCATGAACCCTTTGACCCAGATGGCTTTGCATTACTCAATCTTCTTTTTTAAATTTATTTTTTATATCTATTGGGTAACATTTAAATTCCCTTTTACTAAAGACAGTTTTTCCACATACTTTTGAAGTATTTATAGCATATAATTTATAATAAGATAACAATGTTTGCATGCCATAACACTTGCAAATAGGGTTTAATTAAAAGTTTACATAGGAGCTTCCCCTTTGTTTCAGATGTCACCACTGACTATTAGAATATGTCCTCACTTCCACAGCTGGCCCACCAGGTTAAACAAATAGATCATGTAGGAAACCTGAGCCTGGGTCTATTCCTGGGCTTTTAAATAGCTCATGTCCAACATGCTGAAGAGAACATTATCAGCCTGCTCTTCAGTAGGGGGGTGTAGCAGCTGGGCTTTGCTGCTGTGATGACCACTTTTGGCCCTACTGGGTTTTGACAGGAAGGAAGCAATGAAAGAGAGTGTACAGCAGGCTGGAAAAGATATGGGTGAAAGCTTCACTAATGTCTATTTGTGTCCAAATCCCCTGGCTGAAGATGAGGCTTTTACTCCTTTAAAGGAATACAAAGTGGTAAGACCTTTGATAAGAATATGAACTCTAGATCAGGTTTGCTCTAGAGAAGAAATAGTTTGGGTTACTATTTTATGCTTTTAGTTGACATGTATAAAGTAAAACAATTCTCTAGATCATCCAGGCTAGTAATTTAGAATGCCGTAAAATACCATAGGGAGAAAAAAAAAAAAAAAAAAAAAAAAAAAAAAAAAAAAAAAAAAGAGGCAGGGCTCGAAGCAGACAATATTACAGGAATATATTGAATTGTATAGGCAGACTCTATATTTTTTTGGTTTTTTTTAGAGATGTTCACCTCTCTGATTTTGTTATGTGCCAGACAGAACAGATTTTGCACAATT